GTTTCTCAAACAAAGCCCCCCTAAAAAATTTAGCATTCCTTAAGCCATGTGTGGCCTTCTAGGAGACAAAAACATTCACTCCCATTTTACAGATGAAAGAAAGAAAAGTCAAGAAACATGACTTATGTTGTACCAAAGTGCATTAAAGAAAATAAAAATATACAGGCCCCTTAGCCATATACTTTCTTTTCTTTTCTTTCTTTTTTTAAACCAGAAACCTGGCCCAGAGCCTTTTTAAAATATATATTTTTTTATTGATTTTTTTTACAGAGAGGAAAAGAGAGGGAGAGTTAGAAACACTGATGAGAGAGAATCATCGACTAGCTGCCTCTTGCACACCCCCTACTGGGAATGTGCCTGCAACCAAGGTATAATAGATGCCCTTGACCAGAATTGAACCTGGGACCTTTCAGTCCGCAGGCTGGCGCTCTATCCACTGAGCCAAACCCGTCTCTGCTAGCCATATACTTTCAACTTCTCATCATTCATATTATACTTGCTAGCTTCAGTTCACATAGGCATCCCTGGGAAAGCCTATGAATCGGTTACAGTCTATCTCAAGCAGCAAAGAAAGCATGCAAGTCAGCCAGCCTATCTGTTGCACAGTGGCTTCCCTCTAATAAATATTGATGCCTCCCTCTTCCTGAACCTTCGTCCCTGAGGGTTTTTTCTTTGCAAAGCTCCACTTCTAAATAAACATTTGTGGGTCACTTCACTTTGCTCTAGACTTCTACTGTAGAATTCCAAAACAAACTGTTTTCTGAAGGAAGTCTTCAAGGGGTTCTCCAGTTCTAGAAACAAACAAGGTTAAACGGGACAAAGGGGAAAATGGAGAAGGGAACAACAAAAGGACGAAGAAAAGTGAACACCGTTTTATTTGTGTTGTTTAAAGAAACAAAGTGATTCAAATTAATTTGCTTAGCTGCCTGCAGTGCTTGCCCCAAAGGTGGAGAGGACAGGCCGTGTTCCCGCTGTGGGATAAACATCTAGGGAAATTAATTCATTTTCCCCAGGGTAAAAGGACGTTGGTCACACAGACTTTACTTATTGAGAGACAGACAGACACACACACCCAGGACCTATTTTCCAACATTCGCTCTGGCTTCTACCCTGACGATCTGGGTTACCCTTTATGCTACCCTGAGATATAAATAGCATCCATTTCCTTTCTCAGGCCTGGCTGACTGTAAGCTTTGTTTCCTGGGTCCAGGGGAAAAAATACTCATGGCACATCTCACTCTAAATGTGAGAATTAGAATTTACTACAAAGCTGCCTCACTTTGAATCAACCACTGGGGGGGAGGGGGGAGGGGGAGGGAGCCACTTCAAAAGGCTGAAATTTGCTATTACCATTTTGATAAATTGGCCCAGAATTGCCCCAGTGGGACTTCTGAGTAGCTGTTTCCTTTCCGGTGCGTAGCTCAGAATCCTCCAGAACACAGGTCTTCGCTGAGTCCAGGATAAAGTGCAGGTGAATATTTTACAAAATGACGTGGATGTCCTAAGTTATTTCCCCAAGAGGACCTCTGGATGAGAGCACCTTCATTCGCTAGACAGCCATAAGGAGGCATGTCTCCTGAATTTGAAGACATGGACTCCAATCTAAAACTAGCTGCATTTCATTTTCCTACCACAGTCCCTTCCACCTGGATTCAAGCAGAGACCAATCAAAAAAGGAAGAGACATCTGGGAGAGCAGCAGCAGTGAGATCTTTCCTTTCTCTGGCAAGGCAAAGGTGAAGAGTAAAGATCAGATTCACCTCTCAGGTGCTCTCACTCTTGGCTCACCCTAACAGGGGTCTTCAAACTTCTCTCATTATGAGAATCACCTGGTGGAGGTGTTAAAACACAGATTCCTGATAGCACTTCTTATAGTTGGGATCCGGGAATCTGTGTTTTAACAACTCCACCAGGTGATTCTCATAATGAGAGAAGTTTGAAGACCCCTGCAAAGACCACCTCTCTGTCAGACTGTCATCTCCTCAGGAGAGCCCTGTTTCTCCTCATGTGCATGACAAATAGCATTAAAAGATTTTTTTTTAATTTCAGAGAGGAAGAGGGAGAGAGACATAAACATCAATGACGAGAGAGAATCGTTGATCAACTACCTCCTGAATGCCCCCTACTGGGGATTGAGCCCACAACCCAGGCATGTGCCCTAATTGGAATTGAACCATGATCTCCTGGTTCAACCTCTTGAGTCACACCAGCCGGGCCAAAGAGCATTTTAAAAAAATATATATTTTATTGGCCGGGACCGGTTTGGCTCAATGGATAAAGCGTCGGCTTGGGGACTGAAAGGTCCCGGGTTCGATTCCGGTCAAGGGCATGTACCTTGGTTGCGGGCACATCCCCGGTGGGGGGTGTGCAGGAGGCAGCTGGTCGATGTTTCTCTCTAATCGACATTTCTAGCTCTCTATCTCTCTCTCCCTTCCTCTCTGTAAAAAATCAATAATATATATATATTTTTTAAAAATATATTTTTTATTGATTTTATACAGAGAGGAAGGGAGAGAGATAGAGTTAAAAACATCGATGAGAGAGAGTCATCGATCAGCTGCCTCCTGCACACCCCCCACCGGGGATGTGCCCGCAGCCAAGGTACATGCCCTTGACCGGAATCGAACCCGGGACCTTTCAGTCCGCAGACTGACGCTCTACCACTGAGCCAAACTGGTTTCGGCCCAAAGAGCATTTTTAAGCAGCCTTGAGCTGGTTCCCCAGGCTATTGGGAAGTCCATATTTTGAGCAAATGCATATAGGAAGTACCAAATCCTCTGTTTCCCTTGGGGCCATCCAGGCTGGGGTCCAAAGGGTTCCTTCCACCTGTTGTAGGTGTGACTCTCCTCCGAGGTCAGAACAAGTCTGGAAGCACAGTTGACTCAAACAGAGCTGGTGTTTGGTACTATTACTTCCCAATTTTAACATGAGCAACTAGAAATTACTAAAATAAATCCCTTCCCTGTAGGTATTATGATGGGAACTAATAATTTCAAACCAAAAGTAAAACCAAAACCTTGACAAAAATTCCTCCCCGGTGTATGACTAGTTTCTGGGTGTGTTTTTTTTTTTTTGTTTGTTTGTTTGTTTTGTTTTGTTTTAAGGAATGAAAAGATGCTGACATCCCTGCATCCTTTATCACCCAGCACAGATAACTGGCTTCAGAGCTGTGCTGACTTCTCACAGAAGACCTCTCTCTCTCTACTTAGGGAGTGAGACACTCCCACAGCCTGGTTCTGGTGTGCCAAGAAGACAGAACCCACCTCTTCCTGTTGCCATTGGGCCTGTTTTCCACAGGCTGGATTCTGGCAGCCTCTCTCGAGGAGCTACGAATGGGGTATGTTCTTCATCTTAAGGGGTCCCAGAGCCATAGCCCAGAATGTCATGGAAACTGAAGCAATAGCCTGTCTCAAGATCAGCACACGTTATCAGGGCTCACCCCATGAACGATGCCAGCTATCAGCACCATCAGATGCTTTGACCACGTCTTGTGGTGGCTGCAATGAAGGAAAAGCATAAGCACTGCGGAAGTCCTCTGCCTGCCTCGTTTCCTCTCATTTTCTAAATTATGCAACATGCTAGCCCCCTCCCCCCTGCCGGTCACAGTTTCCAGCCTTGTGAGAGTCACAGTGAAGTGCTGGCCCACACTTGACACAGCTACTTGAGACTCTTTATCTCCAGCAAATGGCTGAGAAAAGTGGTCATGCCAAAGCTGGAACGTAACAGGAGCCACATGGGCATGCCCAGGACAAAGAAGAAAAAAAAAACAAACCACCAGGCGCCCTTGCAGAAACACGTAGGAGCTGGACAGAAAATACAGGTGCGCAGGTCCTCCCTAAGCACAGACTGACCCACATTGCAGCCGCGGGCTGCGTGCTCTCCAAAAGGCAACCAACCTTCAGCTCAACAATTGGCCTTTTGTGCTGCACAAGGGTTGGGTGGGGAAAAAAATCTAGTCCCTTTCCCCTGGAACCTCATCCGGGTCTCCTTTCCCAGGGTGGACTGGGCTCTCTTGGACTCTGGCTCTGCGCACAGCCCAAACCATAACGGGGCTGGGGACCGACCAGGGAGCCAGAGGGCCCCAGTATGCACACCATCCCTCACCCAAAGGGAGGTTCCGTCGGGTCGTCTGCTCCCCGGCACAAGCCAATCTCGGAAAGTCAGAACGGAACTGGCTGAAGGGGAGGATGTCCTCAAGCACAGAGAGGGGCAGCGACTGGCCCCAGATCACACAGCGAGTCAGAAACAGAGTTTTACTACACAACCCCAGCCTCGGGGTTCCAGAATATATCCCACAGCCATCCGCCTGCCCACGCCACGCCCGAATAAAAATAATTAACATCCGCCGAACCGGTTTGGCTCAGTGCATAGAGAGTCTGCCTGCGGACTGGAAGGTCCCGGGTTCGATTCCGGTCAAGGGCATGTGCCTTGGTTGCGGGCACATTCCCGGTGGGGGGTGTGCAGGAGGCAGCTGGTCGATGTGTCTCTCTCATCGATGTTTCTAACTCTCTATCCCTTCCCCCCTCCTCTCTGTAAAAATCAATAAAATATTTTAAAAAATAATAATCATTAACATCCCCTCTCAGAACTTCAGCCCCAGCGTCCCCACCTCCGCGGGGCTTAGAACCTCGGTCTTGACGGCGGCGTGTGCCTCCACCCGCCAAGCCGCAGGTCCTGCCCACCTGCGGGCCGGCCCCGCCGCCGCTCCCGGCCCAGAGCCCCGCCGGCTGCCCGCCGCCCGCCTGCCCGCCGAACCTGAAGAGTCGCGGTCCCGAGCACCCGCGGCGGCGGACATCTCCCTGCAGCTTCCTCAAGCTCTTCATCTCGCCGCCCGCCCGCCCCGCCCCGCCTGGGCTGCCCCGGGGGGTCCGCCCCTGCATGCCGCCTCCGCCAATAGGAAGCCGGTCATCTCCATAACCACGCCCCCTACCGAAAATAGAGCCCGCCCTTGCAGCCAGGCCTCCTCCAATCGCCACCGCCCCTTCCCGGATGGATACCTGCCTCCGCCAATTCTGGCGCACCCGGGCCAGGTGCCTGGGGCCGAGTTCCAGCCGAGCGGCGAGGGTTCCGTCTCCGTGCACCTGTGTCGAGACAGCCACTGGAACTCAGGATCCCGGGTCGCAGGGTCCAAGCCTGAGGCAGGAAGAAGGAGGAAATACTGAGCCACGGGCTTGATAGGGCAGGCTTCCCCTCTGCATGACCCTGAGCCAATCGCTCAAGCTCTTCGAAGAGTCTCCAAGCCTGCGTTTCCCTGTTTTCCTTCACGCACAAAGTGGGTCCTAAATTCAAATGCAGTAATAACTGTGCAACCACTGCTGGTGAGACCGGTGCAGTCACTGTGGAGAACAGTATGGAGTTTCCTCAAAAAACTGAAAATGGAACTCCCATTTGACCCAGTAATTCCATTCCTAGGGATATATCCTAAGAAACTGGAAACACTAATCAGAAAGGATATATGCCCCCCTATGTTCATAGCAGCACAATTTACAATAGCTAAGATTTGGAAACAGCCTAGGTGCCCGTCAGCAGGTGACTGGATCAGAAAACTATAGTACATCTACCCAATTGAATACTATGCTGCCATAATAAAGAAGGAATTCTTACCATTTGCAGCAACATGAATGGAACTGGAGAACATTATACAAAGTGACATAAGCCAGTCAATGAAAGAAAAACACCACATGATCTCACTCATTTGTGGATAATAAAGAACATTATAAACTGATGAACAAAAAGATAGATACAGAGGCAGTAAAGCATCAAACAGACTGTCAAATCACAGCGGGAAGGTTAGGGAGAGGTGGGGAAGATAAGAGATCAACCGAAGAACTGATGATATGCATGCATATAAGAATAACCAACATACACAAAACATTGGTGGGTGAGGGCATGTATAGGAATGGGGGGGGGGGGCCAATGGTAAGATATATACACATATAACACCTTAATTTTAAAAAATGGGGAAAAAAATGTGCAATCAAAAGGCAGACCCTTGCCATTCCCCCAATCTTGTGGTAATTTGTGTGCCAAGGCCTATGCTTCACAGGTATCCTCAATCCTCACAACAAGCTTTAGCAGGTAGGGAACCATTAACCAATAGCAACTGAGCTCAGAGGGGTGAAGTCTGAGGTCACAGAGTGAGAGGCAGAGTTGGGAACTCAAATAGATGTCAGTACTAGGGAGTGAGTAGAATGTTTTAACTACCCATAATCTCCATCAGCAACTCGCAAACCACTCCAAATAAACACACTCTAAAAGCAGTGTGCTTGCTATGAAATACTCCTTCCAGACAAGTCCTCTGGTTCCCCCTTAACCAGATTGCCATCCGACCTTCTTAGAAATTCTTGAGTCTCCTCCGCCTGTCACTCAAACTCAGATCGGTCTGGCTTCCAAACACTTGCTGTTACTTTCTATGCTACCCTGTTTGCTTCCCTTGTAGAAATTCATGAACCTGACCAACCTGAAACGAATTTCCAATGGCAACAGAAATGAGGAGATTTTGGTCCCGATCCTGATGACGACAGCACTGCCAGGCACAGCTTTTAAGTTATTTTCAGGATTTGCATGCTATTAACCTATTCCGGGCCTCATCTGCTCCTCATAAAACTCTTTTTTTTCTTCTTCTCATAAAACTCTTAGTTAGGCAAGTTCATGTCTCAATTGTAGAAATTATAAAGCCAAGGCCACATAATCAAATATATTATTCACATTTACAACTAGGAAGTGGCAGAGCTGGGATATGAACTGAAATCTCTGGTCTCTGTGGGCTTTGATATGAGAACCTGGGGTTCCGAGTCCTATGACTTTGGGTAAGTTACTTACCTTCTCCATGTCAGTCAACTCATCTATATAACAGAGTATCTGCTCTTTGGGTCTGCTCAAAGACTGAACAGGAGGAAGTGTTGTAGTCTAGATGTCTAGAAGAATGTCTGGCACGTAGGTGCTCGATTAATGGCAGCTAATTCTTTTCTCTGTCATCTAGTGACCAAGGCACTTGCACTCCCTGGCTTTTCGTGCTGCAAAAAGGACTTTTATCTGTAACCTTATTCTGGACTTCAGCCTCTTTATCCGTAAAATGCCAAGAATTATGCTGATGGATATCCAAGAGCCTGTCAGCTCTGAGAGTCCCATCTCACGCAGGCCCCCCTCTGACAGCTGCTCAATGAAACCGAGTCGGTATAGTTTCCCTGTTGATGACCCCAGATGTGGAACCCAGAAGGGAAAGCAGATAAAGGGATTGACAGACAGACACTTAAGCTTAAAAGAGGAAGTCATCCCCAACTTCTCTCCTTCATTCTCACAGCCGGGTACCAAGCTCTGTTCGTCCACTTAACACGTTTATTAAGTGCCAGCCACTGTTCTAAGCACTGGGGCTAAAGTTATGAACATTTGTGAACACCCAAACTCAGTGCCTCTATGGTGCCTTCATTCTCATCTGTATGATCTCTCCAGTCTACGCTCTCTTCCCCATAGTCATTACCAGAACCTTATCCAAGCCTCATATTTATTTTTTTAAAATATATTTTAATTGATTTTTCACAGAGAGGAAGGGAGAAGGATAGAGAGCTAGAAACATCGATGAGAGAGAAACATCGACCAGCTGCCTCCTGCACACCCCCCACCGGGGATGTGCCTGCAACCAATGTACATGCCTTTGACCAGAATCGAACCTGGGACCTTTTAGTCTGCAGGCCAACGCTCTACCACTGAGCCAAACCGGTCTAGGCAATATTTTTTTTTTAAATATATTATATTGATTTTTTTTTTTTTTTTTTCAGAGAGGAAGAGAGAGGGATAGATAGTTAGAAACATTGATCAGCTGCCTCCTGCACACCCCCTACTGGGGATGTGCCCACAACCAAGGTACATGCCCTTCACCGGAATCAAACCTGGGACCCCTCAGTCCGAGGGCCAATGCTCTATCCACTGAGCCATACCGGTTTCAGCAAGCCTCATATTTCTCATGCCTGAGAACTGCAACACATTCTCATTGCTCTCCCTGCTTTAGGCTCTCCCCTTCCACACCAGCTGCCAGAGGAACTTGTCTAACATGCAAATTCTGCCTTGTCATTCCAAGGGTTAAAACTCCTGTAGCTCCCAGCAAGCTATCGGGCTGATTATTTATGACCCTTCATGAGCTGCCTCTCCTGGCTTCTCTTGATCTATCTCTTTCCACACCCTCCTTCCACCAAATGACCTGCTCTTCCCTCCAACTGCCTCTCCTTGTTGCCTTCCTGGGAAAAACTCATTCAAGCTTGAAGTTTCAGCTTAAACATCACCTCCTACACAAAGCCTTCTCTGGGTTGTGTATATGGTACAGGGTGGCATGAGCTTAGGAAGCATGAGAGCAAAACTCAGGAGCTCAGATTTTGGAAGAGACTATCTAACCCTGGCTCTGTAGTTTACCAGCAAGGCACTGACCCTCTCTGAACCTCAGTTTCTTCATTCGTAAAACAGAGACACTGATAATAACCTTGTAAGGTGGTACTAAAGAAAATGAGATAATGTACGAAAAGTTCTTAGAGCAGTGTCTAACACACAAGTCAACAATGAAAATATTCTTTATATATGGAAGTCGACAAAACCAAGGTTCAAAGTCACACAGCTAGGGACGAGCAAAGATAGGTTTCAAATGCAAGACGCTGTGTAGCTTCAAAGTCCATGTGCTTTGCTGTTATTACTATTATTGCCCCTCCTACAAAATAATAATTGGAGAAGCATTTCCCCTTGCTTATAGAATAAACTTTAAACCGCTTAGCCAGGCATTTAGGGCTCTATAATTGTGGGGGTTTTTCCCCTCCACACCCAGCTATGCATCTAAAGCTAGTCTCCTTCCTGGCACCCCCCTCCCCAGGTGTTCAAGCTCCATGGTAAGATTATGATAAAAGGGAGGCCCATTCCCCATTCCTGCAGAGACAAGACGTTAGTCTTAAAGCAGGAGTCTTCAAACTTCTCTCATTATGAGAATCACCTGGTGGAGGTGTTAAAACACAGATTCCTGATAGCACTTCTTATAGTTGGGATCCGGGAATCTGTGTTTTAACAACTCCACCAGGTGATTCTCATAATGAGAGAAGTTTGAAGACCCCTGTCTTAAAGGAAGTAAATAATAGTGTTGTGTGAACACCTAAGCTCCAGCACCTGGTGGCTCAAATTTGCATGTTCTGTAGCTGAGCCTCTGCTCTATACAAACTCTCCTTTACAAACCTGCCTGGCTGATTTCCTGGTCTAAGCAAATTCTGCCCTGCAGGCCATTAATCTCTTCCTGCTGTGCTGAAGCTAGGTCATTTTCTCAGCTGTAGTGGGGGACAGAGCCGGGTTCAAGGGCAGGAGGACCCATAGGTGAGACTTCCCTGGGTTTCTGGCTGTGGCTAACAGGGAAGATGGGCTTCTAGCTGAAACTGATTTGGCTCAGTGGATAGAGCGTCAGCCTGCAGACTGAAGGGTCCCAAGTTCAATTCCGGTCAAGGGCATGTACCTTGATTGCAGGCACATCCCCAGTTGGAGGTGTGCAGGAGGCAGCTGATCAATGTTTCCCTCTCATTGATGTTTCTAACTCTCTATCTCTCTCCCTTATGCTCTGTAAAAAATCAATAAAATATATTTTAGAATGTTAAAAAAAAAAAAGAAAAAAAAAAAAAGATGGGCTTCTAGAAGCTTTGACCCAGCCAACTAGTAAAGGCTTCTGCATCAGAATCATAACCCACCCTCTGCAGCCCTGCCCAGAGCCAGGAGGACAGACTCAGGTCCAGAAACAGGAAATGTGAAAAGCAAGCACCATGGTTGGCTGCGGACCTGGAGGCACGGTGGCCACATGACAGCCCACAGGAGAGGGCACAGAAACGGGGGTGAGAGTCCAGGGTGTGGAAAGTCAGCTGGTAGTGGGTAGATTAATAACCAGCCAACCGCCCGACAGAGCCCGGGTCTTACCTACCTGGACAGGCCCTGGCAACTTCCTGCAGGAACATCCTGGTGTGTGAACCAAAGGGAAGCTGGAATGTGAGGCTGAGCTCCGCTGTGTCCAGCTGGACGGTCACATCTGAGCCTGCACAAAGGAGGCTGGAAATGAATCCTGGACCTCCAGGAGCTAAGGATGGGTGCACCTTTTTTTTTTTTTTTTTAAGAGTTAATCTCTTCTTTTTTAAAAAAAGATATATTTTATTAATTTTTTACAGAGAGAAAGAGAGAGGGATAGAGAGTTAGAAACATCGATGAGAGAGAATCATCGATCAGCTGCCTCTTGCACACCCCCTACTGGGGATGTGCCCGCAACCAAGGTACATGCCCTTGACCAGAATCGAACCCGGGACTTTTCAGTCCACAGGCTTACGCTCTATCCATTGAGCCAAGCCGGTTTTGGTGGATGGGTGCATCTTAAGGCTAGAACCCCCAGAATGGAGAACTAGCAGTCCAAGCTTCTGAAGTCCGTTCAGCCCTTCAGAAACTGCCCGGCCAGCATGTTCAGTGGTTGACGCCAACTCATAAACCAGGAGGTCAGGGTTGGATTCCCTGTCAAGGCTTAAGCCCGGGTTGTGGGCATGCAGGAGGCAGCCAATCAAATGATTCTTTCTCATGATTGATATTTCTCTCTCTCCCTCTCCCTTCCTCTCTCTGAAATCAATAAAAATATATTTTTTAAAAACATCAATTCTAGCAAGGCTGAGCTGGATCAGTAGGGGGACTTTCCATACACTCAGCTCCAAATTAACATCATCCTCAACCTGCAAAGGGCATGGACCAAGGCTCTAAAAAGTCATTGGGCCGAAACCGGTTTGGCTCAGTGGATAGAACCTTAGTTGTGGGCACATTCCCAGTAGGGAGTGTGCAAGAGGCAGCCGATTAATGATTCTCTCTCATCGATGTTTCTCTCTATCCCTCTCTCTTCCTCTCTGTAAAAAAATTAATAAAATATATATATTTTAAAATAATAAAATAAAAATAAAAGTCATTGGGCCTTGCCACAACAACACTACACGAAGCTGAAGAGACAAGTCTCTCCCCCCAGCAAGTGGAGTGAGAAGCACACAGAGGCAGATAAGAGAGGCTGGCTGTCAGCCAGTCTTCTCAACTGTGCCAGACACTTACTTCACACCCAGACCCTGAGCCCTCTGCCCCAGCTACTCACCAAGAATGTAGAGTTCACCATCTGAGGACACTGTGGGGAGGGAAATGAAAAGGCCCTTAGCACTTGAGCACCTCTGCCTCAGCATCCTCCTACTGCCCCACCCCCAACAAGGGCCGTAAGGACCTGGGAGCCCAGAGGAGAGGGACTCATCCCACCCATCCCCGCTGTGCACCTTCTTCCAGTGTGAAGTCCCGCGAGACCGGCACTATCTGGTCCAAACAGACATCGTCCCCAGTAATGGCCATCCTCCGGTGCGTATACAGGAAGAGGCTAAGGGCAGGAAGCAGAGGTGAGGACAGGGTCCACCGGCCGGCCCGAGGGACCTGTGACAAAAACGGCGCAACCCCTTTCCCTCCCTGAACCTCTTTCTCCATCTGTAAAGTGACGGTGGTGGATTAGAAACTGTCTAAGGCCCCTCCCTCCCAGCTCTGAGACCCTGAGATTCCCTTGCTGGTGAGGAGACCTTTGACAGGGTTGGCATTCTCTCTCTCTGTGTGTGTGTAATATGTGGGTGTTGCTGAGCAGTTCCTATGTGCTACCAAGTGTTTTAGTTTTATTTTTTTAATATATATATATATATATACATATATATATATATATTTTTTTTTTAATATTTTTAATTAATTTTTTTAGAGAGGAGGAGAGAGGGATAGAGAGCCAGAAACATCAACAAGAGAGAAACATCAACCAGCTGCCTCTTGCACACCCCGTACCGGGGATGTGCCCACAACCAATGTACATGCCCTTGACCGGAATCGAACCCGGGACCTTTCAGTCCGCAGACCGACGCTCTACCACTGAGCCAAACCGGCTTCGGCTTTGAATATATTTTTATTGATTTTTTACAGAGAGGAAGAGAAAGGGATAGAGAGTTAGAAACATCGATGAGAGAGAATCATCGATCAGCTGCCTCTTGCACACCCCCTACTGGGGATGTGCCCGCAACCAAGGTACATGCCCTTGACCCGAATTGAACCTGGGACCTCTCAGTCCGCAGGCTGACGCTCTATCCTAGGGGTGTCGAACTCAATCAGAGAAGGGGCCAAAATCTAAAATCCAGCCTAAATCGCGGGCCGAATGGTTTACTGAACAGTCATAAACTGTCATTGTGATGGAAACGCAGCGGAGTGCAGTGATGACAGCTCGGTGCGGGCCACATTGCAAGGCCTGGCGGGATGGATTTGGCCCGCGGGCCTTGTGTTTGACACATGTGCTCTATCCACTGAGCCAAACCGGTTTCAGCTCAAAGTGCTTTAGACCCTTTCCATGTAATGACTCACTTCAACCTGGACAAACAGGTCCGGAGGAGTAAACCCCTTGCTCAAGGCTGAGTGTCTTGGAAGTAACAGAGCCTGGGTGTGAACCGGCACACAGGCCGTTAGACTCAGGATCTGGGTCAGTGTGTTCAACTGCCTCTTCTCCAGAAGCTTCCTCTTCAAATGTTGAGGATTATATGAGCTAATACACATGGAGAGCTTAGAATATGGTATTGTAAAATTGTTAACTGTCATTAGTATAATTATTCTAGAAGACTCGGACTCTGCCCCAGAGGGATGGCTGAAGTCTAGCTGGAGGGTACTGTGAAGAAAACCCCTTGGCCCAGACAGGGAAGCCGAACCCCTCACTTACGCGTGTTCTTGGCCTCCATGTTCCGGGCGGTAGCGCACGAGCCCCAGGAGGCGGCTCTGCCTGCTGTCTCCCTCACACAGCACGCCTTGCACTGCCTGCTGCTCAGGGTCAAGGGAAATGGAACAGGAGGCCAGGGCAGCCTGCCCTGCCTGCCCAGCCTGCCCCACCTTCCCTGCTTTTCCCTTGCCCACACAGATTCACTGTGTGACCTTGGGCAAGTTGCTTCACCTCTCTGGGCCTTCCCCATCTGTGAAATGGGAATAATAATCCCCAGCTTCACCGGGGGAGTTGGGAGGAGAGTCCAGTACTGAGGAAGTACTGAGTAAATACCGCTGTCCCTCTCCCTGGATGCTGAGAGAGAGGGAGGGGGGAGAGCAGAAAGACACACAGACTTTCCTTTCCACTTCCCCAGGCCAGGCAGGCCCTGGGGCTGGGAGCTCAGTGCTGGGAAGGATATGATGATGCAGTATTCCCCCTCAGCCAGCGTCTCCTGGATGGCCACAGACTGGTCCATGCTGGTCCCTGTGGAGCAAGCACACCCTGGGAGGTAAATGGGAGGCCCCTTTAGTCAACAAGTTAGCCAGGAGGCGATGCAGCTGTCTGCAGAGGGCTGAGGGGCAGGGAGAGGGCGCCTGTGCAGTGAGAAGGTAGAGGAGGCCTGATCCTCCCCCCCACCTTCCCTCCAGGATGGGCCTTGGAAAGTCTCTGAGGAGAGGGGTTACTTCTTTGCCCCAAGTGGGATGTAAAATTTGTTGTGCCGCCCTTTTTCTGGAAGGGTGCCTAGTTCTTCCCCAAGAGGGGTGCAATGTATCGTGGGAAGTGGGGTGCCTGGTCCCATTAATGGGGAGGGGACATGGCCCCATTGCTCCGGGGATGGGTCTCTGCCTCCCGTTGGGGGAGCAGTATTAGTCCTGCTGGCTCCTCTTTGGGAGGTGTCAGTGGTGTGTCTGCATGGGGGTGGGAGAGGCATCTCGTTCCTCTTTGGAAGGGAAGGTCTCATCCTGGACAAGGACACCCGTCCTGTCCTGTTCCTCTTTCCCTGGAGATAGGAAAAGTGTCCCATTGCTCCTTGGCCCTCACCCCCATCCAGTAGGCCCATTGCATCAGCCACAGGCCAGGGGAGTATCCGGTGCTGGCAGCGCAGGACAGGGGTCCCAGCGCTCAGCTTGCCCGCCACCTCCTGGCCAGCTCTGCCCTGGTTCCCCCTCCCAGCTTGCTGTCATCGCCCCTACCTCCTCAGCTGTCACCGCTGGGTGTGCGGGTCTCTGTGGCCCGCGCCCCACCAGGGACTACATTTCCCAGCAGCCCTAGCGCACACCATGGCCACTCAGCCTGCAAGTCCCAGCATGCCTGCGTCCATCCTGGGGGGTCTCCCCACCCCTGTTAACTCCTTAGGTGCTGGAGTGCGCGGGACTCCCTATTCCGGAAAGATTTTCCTAATAAATGCCCTGATCCCCACCCCTGACCCTTCACGTCATGGGGCCAGATTTCCCCGCCCACGGCCTGCAAGGAAGGTGGTCACATTTTAAGAGGGAAAAGTAATGCGTTTTTACTTTCTCTTCAATTCCATTCTGAACCCATCTCAGCCAGGTGGGCCAATTCTGGCTTCTGCTGGAACTCTTCCTCCCCCAATAACTACCCTGTCCCAGCTTAGAGAGGAACACCACCAAGAAGAACCATTAGCCCAATTCCAGCTGGAGAAACTGAGGCTCAGAGACGTGGTGCGGTTTTGCCAAGGCGCTGCAAGTGGCAAAACTGAGCCTGGCTGAAGGTCTGACTCCGCTTTTGTGCACTGACACTGCCTCGCACTGTCCTATTTCCTCCCTCAGGTATTTCCTCCCTCAGTCTCTCGGGAATGTATTGTGTGCCTTCAACAGAGAACACCCTGTCCCGCCTGACTCAGAGACTGAGGACAACGGATGTGAACTCACTTTGGAGAAAGGGTGACACTGTTCCCATCATGGTGAGACCCAGTCCTCTCTCCACCTCCTCCTCCAGAAGCTCCGCCCCTTCTTGTTCTCACGCCCCTTCCCCTGATTCACCAGGTCACCTGCACTTGGGCAAGGCCCTTTTCCATTTGGCCTCGATTTCCCCATCAAAGATGACGAGGTGGCTCCAGATGGACAAGGGCCAGCTCAGATGAGGGAGGCCAGGATTGGTCTCTCTCAGCCTGCAGGCCACTTGTAACCAACTGTAACCTCGCCATCTTTGCTCCACCACAGCTGGCCCTCAAAAAGTGTTGACTGAATTAGTGAATTAATGAATGAACTGCCTGAATGAATACACCTGCTCTCAAGCTTTGACCCAAACTGACGGGTCAGTGCTGGGGAAGGAGTGACCCCTGTGACTTCTAACCAGTGTCCTCTCTTCTCGCTCTAAGCTGGGAATTGTTGCCCTCATGCCAAGTCCAACTTTGAATATATAAACCGATTCCAGAAGCAGCTTCTTCCCAATCCTCGCCTCTTCCTGGAAATATCCACAGCACAAAATGGAACAGGATTGTTTGAATTTGACTTCAAAGTCCTGCGGGGGATGAGGAAAAAGGGGATTGACTTACACCCTTAGAGATAAACAGGGTGGACGTCACTGCAGGAAAGCAGGGGCACCCCAATTCCAGCCCCACCCTTTTGTTTTAAATATATTTTTATTGATTTCAGAGAGGAAGGGAAATGAGTTATTGATGGGCTGCCTCCTGCATGCCCCCTACTGGGGATCAAGCCTAAATCCAGCTGGAGAAACTGACAAGGTATGTGCCTTGACCAGAATCAAACCGTGACTTCCTGGTTCATAGGTCTATACTCAACCACTGAGCCACACCAGCTGGGCTCCAGCCCCAATCTTTTTTTTTTTTTTTTTTTAATATATTTTATTGATTTTTTATGGAGAGGAAAGGAGAGAGATAGAGAGCTAGAAACGTCGATGAGAGAGAAACATCGACCAATTGCCTCTTGCACACCCCCTACTGGGGATGTGCCCGCAACCAACGTACATGCTCTTGACCAGAATCAAACCTGGGACCTTTCAGTCTGCAGACCGATGCTCTACCACTGAGCCAAACCAGCTTCGGCTCCAGCCCCAATGTTAATGTCAAAGGCTGGGGAGCAGGATCTGGGACAAGTGGATGAGGCTGGGCACTTATTTATCGATATTTATTTATTTATTTATTTAAAAATATATTTTATTGATGTTTTACAGAGAGGAAGAGAGAGGGATAGAGAGTTAGAAACATCAATGAGAGAGAATCATCGATCAGCTGCCTCTTGCACACCTTCTTCTGGGGATGTGCCCCCAACCAAGGTACATGCCTTTGACCGGAATCAAACCTGGGACTTTTCAGTTGGCTGACGCTCTATCCACTGAGCCAAACCGGTTTCGGCAAGGCTGGGCACTTTTTACAGTCTGTCCCTGTAGGACTCTGGGGTCCTCCCACTTGATGGGGGTCACAGGGGAAAAAAACAATGGTTCTGTTTTCCCCGATAAACCCCAGCCTCTCCTTGAAATTGAGGCTAAGGCCTGGCCCGGCCAGGCTTAGGTGGTGGGAGGCAGGAGTGAGGAGCCCTGAGCCCAGAGCTGTGGATAAATCCCTTTCTCTAAAGATCCAGCTACAGGAATCAGAGCTGGGGGTGGGCCTGAGGCTTGCCAGGCCTGCAGGGTCTTCCTGGCTGTTTCTCCCTGATTCGGCTGGGCCTGGCCAGGGGAGCAGGGCAGAGCGGAGGCTGCAGCCAGGGACCAGGGCAGGGCACTCCTGGTGGCTCCTGAGGCTGCCCGGTTGAAGTGGAGGCTCCCATCCAGATGGAGGCAGCTGCCCTGGCTTGCAGCACTCCTGGGAGCAGGACTGAACCACGGCCCCGTAACACCTGTGGATCCCTGCCACACAGGCTTGGCTGCAACCCGCAGTGCAGCCCAAGCTGGACCGTTTCAGCTGCAAGAAGAGATGGGACTGTGCCTCCTCTCCTTGCCCCTCTCTCCCACTCACAGAGGCAGAAAGTGTTAAGTGGGCCATGGCTGAGCTGAGCCTCCCTGGGCTCCTCGCTCTCTCTCCATGAGGTCAGCCAAGTAGTCCCTGGAGAACCTACAGGGTGCTCCGAAACAAGGGGCATGCCAGGGAGACTTAGGAAATTCCAGCTGTTGCCCTGGATTAGGCGGAATGCAGAGCTGAGCGGCCAAGCATGCTAGACCCCAGGCAGCCTGGCTCCCAGCAGGTGCAGCTCCAGCCAGACTTGACTGCTGACCTACTCGGTCCAGACAGAAGGAGAACGGCCTGCATTTATGAGGCAGGACAGTGCCCCCAATCCCTGGAGCACTCCAGGGGCCCACCTCACAGAAGTCCATGTCCTCAGGGCACATGGCCACAGCTTTCTGCCCTTTGAAGCATTGGTTGCCTTGGCAGAAGGTGGCACAGGTTTTCTCCTTGAAGAGAAAGTGGAGGGGAGGCTGAGGGGTAGGGAGTTCTCCTCAGACTGAAACAGGGAGTGGGTGACAGAGAGGGGAGGCTGGAGCCCCATCATGCCGGTCCCACTGGCCCAGCTACCACATGCTGTCCATCCCCGCCTCCACCTCCCAGAGCGGGCAGGTGTGGCTGAGTCACTCACATTTCTCTGGGAGCTGGTGGAGTGGGAACCAGCTTGTTCTCTGGGACGATCAGGTGGCCTAGACCTGAGATCAGAGCAGGGTTCCCCAGGGAAGTGCTGTGGTACCTCTGCAGGGGGCAATTCTGCAGTCCCAGCCCCCACCCCAAGGGAAGGCACCTTGTGTGTGGACAGTCTCAACCTGAAGCTCCCCGCTTTGCTGCCACCCTAGACAAGCACAGGAGATTGTTCTGGCTGCCTTGGTGCTTGGGGGGAGGGCACACTGGTTAAGCTGGGCTGGGAAAGGTGTGGGGATTGGGAAGGGAATGTGGAAGGGGCTGGAGCACTGAAGGTAGAAAGCTCAGCCGTGAGGTCTACTAATTAGGTCTAAGGTCTACTTAGCTTTGATGAGGAAAGTAGACCTCAAAGCTAAGGATCAGCCTGCCGAGGCTTAGGAATGAGGTATTTTTAAAAAATATATTTTATTGATTTTTTACAGAGAGAAAGAGAGAGGGATAGAGTTAGAAACATCCATGAGAGAGAAACATGGATCAGCTGCCTCCTGCACACGCCCTACTGGGGATGTGCCCGCAACCAAGGTACATGCCCTTGACTGGAATTGAACCTGGGGCCTTCCAATCCGCAGGCTGACGCTCTATCCACTGAGCCAAACCGGTTTCGGCAGGAATGAGGTATTGATAGAGGTTGAGGAGTTGGTGAATACTGAGCTAAGATTTGCAGAACTGTCAGAGTGAGGGTCAGAACTGGGGGGTTACTAGGTGGGCAAGGCATGAATGGGTGGGGCTAAGAGCTAATGGGGCCAATGGGAGCAGGAGTCAGAGTAGAGACTCCGACTTGGAGGGCAATAGAAGGGAGGCTCGGAGCTGCAGGCTGGTGGCCTTTCTCACCTGAGGCCAAGCCATGGAGCCCCAGGCAGAGTGGACTGCCTCCGCCTCACTGCAGAGAGCAGGTCCAGGGCCAGCAGGCAAGGGCTGAGGCCAGTTTCATTTCCCCCCTCACAATCGTGGATGCGCCGGGCCATGTAGTGAGAGGTATGGAGTTGAATCAGCTGGATAAAGGGAGTGGGGGGAGGGAGAGAAGTGGGGAGGACACATATGTATTACCTTAATCAATAAAGAAAGAAATAAAAAAGGCAAACAAGATTGACACACCTTTAACCAGACTCCTCAGGGGGGAAAAAGATACAGAGAACCCAAATAAATAAAATCAAGGAAATTCAAAGCAAAAAAAAAAAAAAAAAAAAAAAAAAAAAGGAATACCAGAGAGTCCAGGAGGATGGGAAAGGGAGGACACAGCCAGTGTTGGGCTGTATCTCTACCTCTCTCGGCATCTCAAACAGTCTCTCTCTCAATACCTTCCTGTACGTACCTAAACATCAATCCCTTCCAACGGACCCAGTCCCAAGCCCTGCAGCAGCCCTCATGGCCGCCTCCCGCCTGGGCCCTGCAGCGGCCCCACCCGCACTTCACAGTGATGCTCCCCGGATTCACACTCTGCCATTGGGTTGGAGAACTTTGCCTCCTTGTAGCACATCTCTCCAGAGCAGTGGAAGCAGCGGCATCTCTGTGGAAGAGTTTGAACACTGTGGCCTCATTCCCTTGGGTGAAGCATTCGGGAGGCTCTCTCCTCCTTCCTATGCCACTTACCCGGGCAGGAGCAGGGGTCAGCTGACTTCTGACCAGGTTCTGGGCTATCAATAAGACCAGAAGGACTGGTAAGAGAGAAGGAGAG